AAAAAAAAAAAAAAAAAACAATAGTAATTCATATTATTAAAACACTAAATACATGGAATCAAATAAATAATGTTTTTTTAATTTCTCAAACTTAAAAAGGTTAATTCCTTAATTGATTTCAAATTAGCAACTTATACAATGATACTAATAATTTCTTCTAAAGGTAAAAGTTTGAGTTCATCCTTTTTACCTACTATATGATTTGTATTTTAGTCATTAATCATGTGTATATTTATCTGCTAAAAGTTAATTATTATATCTATTGACTAATTTTATGAGATGTCATCTAGAACATGGCTTAGGTAATTAAGATATCTATATCTTTTCTAAGATAGAAGGTTAAGTATCTCATCTAATAATTTTTAAAAAATAAAATGATTTCAACGCTCTAAAATATTTAGTTATCTAGAAATTTATAGGACCTTAGGTGGCCGAATTAATACTCTTCAAATCTTGTACTTGCCCTCTAATACTAAGAAGGAAGTACTAAACAAACAAGGGAGTTGGAACCCACATGCCAAATTTCTAAACAAAGCAAGATATTTATGAAACAGCCCATAGAAAAATTAAAGACGAATTAAAATTGAGCAACTAATTAGCACAGAATAAATTTTTTTAAAAAAATTCAAACATAAACTAAAGGATGATAAGAAATGATGAAAAAAAAAGGCAAGAAACTTCTCCGAACCCTACTAAGTCCACACCCCACGTGGAATTCCATGTCACCACATTGCCACATGTTTTGTGTTTTCAAAGGTCTTATCATACTTTACACCCAACTTCTGAAAATCTGGCTGACTTTCATGCTATATTCACATTTCTGTTCAAATAATCTTAATTTTAAAGAGCCATTAAAATAAAATTGAACAAATAAGAGGGTATCTTGACTTTCTAACAATTCTATACAATTATATGATATTGTTTAGTTTGAGCATAATTTCTCCTCCTAATAGATATATCTTATAAATTCATGATATTCTCAATCTCATCTCACAAGAAAGAAACGAGCATAGAGAGGGGTATGCAAGAAAATGCCTTTTCTGCCAAACCTGTATTATTAATTTCAAGCTGAACGACAGTTGTGGATAAAGTCGCCTAGACCCTATTTTTTACCCTCACCAATGGGAACCCATATCGAATAGTCCAAAATCAGACCCCAAAAAGGAAAAAAAAAACTCAAAAGCCGTTTCAGATTATCCACGTGTCATCTATCTATTCGGACACGTCATTTTCCTACTGGCCGGCTATATTCTACTCCTGAACCCCTCCTGTACGGCGACTTTTACAAGGACCGAACAGTATGGACTTCTACAAGCTGTTCTAGATTATATATAATTTTTAATTTTACTATATATAATGTTAAATTATAAATTAATTCCTAAATGTACATAAATTTAATTATAATTATATGTTTGATGAAATTAATAGTAGATTTGTGAATTTTAAGAATAAAAATTGAGAAATTAAATTGGTAATTTAAAAAAAAATTAAACTAAATTGATATAAATTTAGAGAAATAAAGTTGTAATACCGTCCTTATCAATTTGTTTGGACTCTTGTACTCTTGTACTCTTTATGTCTAAATAGTATAAGTACCAAACTCGCCGGCCGGCGCCTGATCCACGTTGACCGGGACCGGAGATTACCACGCAGGTTTAGCCGCTAATGATTCAATCAAACGCACAAGATTAAAAACACAACGCTACAATATGAACTTACTTATCAAGTTCAGACAGGCTCACCCTCCGCCGGGCCCGCCGGGATTCCATATCCGAAATGGAAAATTACTAACGACGTCAGTTTCAGCCAACAACTCAAACAGTATGTGCAGAAACCGAAAATCACAAAAGAGAGAGAGAGAGAGAGAGAGAGAGAGAAAAGAGAAACGGAATCTTACAGAGCACGAACCCAACGGACGGGCACATCACGAGAAGCAATGACGACGAGATCGGCATCGACGTTAAGCTTCGCAAGGGATCTAATCAACACTCTCGTCGCTACATAGAACTCGTAATCTCTCGGCGTTCCCATGTACATCATCGATGCATAAGCGTTTCTATGTTTCGTCGTCGTTTTCGCCTTTGTATACTCCGCTACCGATTCTTCAACTACCTCTGCCGCAAGCACCACCAACACCACCGCTAAAATCCTCAAAACTCCACCGATTCTCATCGTTTCCAAATCTCTCATGCACTACAACTCAACCTTTGCATCGATCGATCGATCAACCGATCCTCTGTTTTCTCGACTTTTCCTTTTCTCAACGAAATACAACGCTGTTTTGAAACCTCCGGGAACCTCGTTCACTGCTCGATACGGAGACACCGGAATCAGAAGAGAAACTGGCAGCAGCGGCAAGGGATTTTCCTTTGAAGCTTCGTTTTCGTTAGAGCGGGAAGAGGAAAAAGGGAGAAATGAATCACGAGGTTTACAGAGAGAAGAAAAATGGCGTTATAAAAAACAATGGACGCGTTTTTCTGTTTTCTGTAACTTCAAATCTGTTCGTCCGTCTTAAATATCTCCATGATCCTTAGTTCTTGAATTTTTTAGATATAATTTAATCTTAATTATTTTTATTTATTCATTTCTTTTTATAATAAATTAATTGAATAATAAAATTACTCTTAAAATAATAATGTCCATTCATGAATAAAGCAGACAATATTTGCTAGCAGTGGTTTGAGCTGTTATTTATGGTATCTAAGCAATAAGTTGTGTGGCAAGGATGCTGGACTACTAATGAAGTGGATTATGAGATCGCACATCTTTTGAGAGGAGACTAAACATTTCTTTATAAGGGTGTGGAAACCTCTCCCTAACAGATTCGTTTTAAAACCGTGAAACTGGCTATTATACGTAGCGGATTAAAGCAGATAATATTTGCTAGCACGCTTGGACTCTTACAAATCATATATGTGATGTCCCACATTGGTTGGGGAGGAGAACAAAACATTCCTGGTAAGTAACAGACGCGTTTTAAAGCCTTGAGGGGAAGCTCAAAGAGGACAATAATATCGGTTGGCGGTGGATCTGGGTTGTTACAAATGATATCAGAGCCAGACACCGGACGATGTGCCAGCCTTCTCGTTGTTCCTCGAAGGGGGTTAGACACGAGGCGGTGTGCCAGTAAGGACGCTGGGCCCAAAGGAGGTGGATTTGGTGGTGGTCTCACACTGATTGGAGAAAAGAATGAGTGCCAGCGAGGACCCTGACCCTAAGGGGGTGGATTGGTGATGTCCCACATTGGTTGGGAGGAGAACAAAATACTCTTTAGGGTGTGGAAACGTTCCTCTAACAGAGTGGTTTAAAGCCTTGAGGGGAAGCCCAAAGAAGACAATATGGCGGTGGAGTGGATATGGGTCGTTACAATACACATGCGAGTCATCAAATATTGAATCTAAATTTTAAATTCTGGTCCGAATTTTAATCCCGAGAAGTTCAAATATATATGCTTTTTTATTGTCACAATATTTAAGTATTTTGGCCAGGCTGCATTTTTTTGACTTGCTTTTTTTAAAACCACCAATCATAGTACATTGGTCAGCCAAACTTTAAAATTAAAATATATATTTTAAAAATTAATTTTTTATATATATTAAGAAAAATATGATATTTATAATAGAAATATTAAGATATATTTGGAAAGTTATTTAATGCTCTTTTCCATTTTTTGTTTTATTTATTATTTTTATGTCTGTCTTTATTGGTATGCCTATATTGGAGTGAATTTAAGATTTAATAAAAAAATTATTTTGTTACTTGTAATTATATTAGTTTTTAAATTTTCAAATATTTTACATAACATTATTTTAGTAATATCAAGTAATTTAATTAATTAACGGATTAAATTATTAGTAAATGTTTATGAAGAGTTATATGTTATTAACAAATGGGAAAAGTAGCCTTAAAAGGGCATGTTTGGAAAAATGACACTAGAAGTTTAAAATTGGGAATTTAATCCACTTGAAGTCCAATTTGTAAAAATAAAGTAAAAAAGGGAATTTACAAAAATAGTCTTAAAGGATTAATTGGAAATTTTAGCCCACAATTAATCAAATTTAATCAAATTTGAAAGATTTCTCCAACATTTAGTCAAAAGTCAAAGGTGGTTAGCAATTAAATTATTTGGTTTGACTAAATGGATAAATTAAAGGATAAGTATTTAGGTTTTATATTAAAATAAAAAAGGAAATTGTGAGATGCACTTGATTTTTGACAAGTGGAAGATTCTTATTGGTGGAGTTCAAACTTACCCTAAATTTTTACTTACTTAGAGTCGCTTCCGTCATCATATAACCATTTTGTGTAGGAAAACGCGTTTTAAAAACTTTGAGAGGTAGCCCGAAAGTGATAACTCAAAGAAGAAAATATCTACTACCGATGTGGTTGGATTGTTACATCAAGAGAGCTAATATCGAGAAAAAATGGTTGAAGTTCATCCTCAGCACAAGAAAAACTCGAGCAAACTTTCATAGTTCAGCCAAATCTTCAAATTCTATGCACGGTTTTTTCCAAAATTCTTCGTTTATAAACCACTTCTTAGCTTTATTTTAGGCTCTTTAGATTCAGAGGAAGGAACTCGACACTCTATGTGAAGAAAGCAATGACTGGAAATGCTTTAAACTGAAGTTACCATTAGAGTGACCTCAGTAAGAATTTTATTAATCGGGTATTTTCGAGTTATGCCAAATTGGATCTATAATCCTATCTCAAAAGTTTCTTGAGCTAAAATGGAGTGTTTTTCATGAAGGGCTCGAAGAAAAATACCCGCAAGAGAAGACCATGAATTTTTCATCTTCCCGACGATGAATCTCATCCTTGACCTATTTGTTACACTTCGTGACAAGGAGAGGGACAACTTTGGTGAAGGAACCAAAAAGGTAAAAGTGGCCGAAAATGTTTTTTTTCAATGTCTAAATATTTAAATATTATTATTTTTAAATAAGATATTTAATTAATCGGACTATAACTACGATGCTAAATAATTAATTATAATACCTTTTATATACACAATTATTGTGCTTTTGTTAAGTTGACCAAATGGAATCAATTTATAAGATTGTGTGATTTTCCTAATCTTTAAAAACCATATTTTCTTTGATTATTTAAAAAAAAAAAAAGATAAAATTTTGAGATTATTTTAAATATAATTAACAAATTATCTAAATTGATTTAACTACGAAAATTTAGGGTACAAATTAATACCGTTATTAGTTCGGAATTTTAATTGATATAACCTCAAAGTTTAGAAGTCTTTAATTACCATTTTGTTTTTTTTTTCAATTATCTAATATGTATTTTATTTTCTATTTTTAAAAAAATATTTTTGTACGATGGTTGAATAAAAAAAAAAAAAAAAAAAAAAAAA